ACCTTTAAAGGGAAAAACTTGCATGAATCAGGTCCGCCAAAAAATACTGGGTTTTTGTATATTATTTGCCCAACTGGACCACGTTGCAGTTTTTTTTCTATTTTGGACTTTAGGTGTAAAAAATTAGACCTTCTGTCAATTAAAAACTTTGTAACCTCCGTGTTTCTGAAATTGTATCCCGACACTTCACATTCGAAAACTTCACCGTTTAGATGAGCGGAAATCATATACTGTGGTGTTTGAGACATAGCGAAAATTGTGGTGTTTGAATGTTTGAGTGTTTGAGTGTTTGCGTGTTTGAGTTTAAAGAGTTTAAAGGCTTTATAACATGGGCTGAGTGTTTTCTTGTTTAAAGACTTGAAAGATTTTTTTTACATGTATCAGTAAATGAATCTGTAATTTTCACATGTGACCCTGCGAATCAATGACCATGCATCAGGACTCTTTTTGCATGCACCAGGACACTTGTCACGCATGCTTCATAATTAATGACATGCATCAGGACTTGAACAGGACACTTGATAAGACGTGACAATGCCAAGTTCTGCGTTCACATGTGATACCGCATCAGGAATCTCTGCCTTTCACTTGTCACGCATGCTCCACAATTAATGACATGCATCAGTACTTGAACAGTACACTTGATAAGACGTGACAATGCCAAGTTCTGTGTTCACATGTGATACCGCATCAGGAATCTCTGCCTTTCACTTATCACGCATGCCTCACATTCAATGACACGCATCAGGAATCAATGACATGCATCAGGACACTATTCATGCATGCGTTTACAACCATCAGAACCTATCATCCATAAAAAAAAAACAATATGTCCTTAATTAAGAAAAAAAACACAATATGAAAAAATCACACTACGCAATCAATGACATGCAGCCTGTTTGATTAGACAAGACAATGAAGATATCTCATTTTCACATGTGTTCCTGCATGCCTACATTGACCATGCAGGCCTACGAGACTCTCTTTCTGCATGCATCAGGACTTGATAAGACGGGACACTGCATCCACCATGCTTGATTAGACGAGACACTGCATAAAAAAGACTCAGCATCCAACATGCATTTACACATCACATGCTTCATGACACTAGTCCAGAAATGCATTTACACAACACATCCAACACGACACTAGTCCAACATGCATTTACACAACACATGCTTCAAGCCACTCGTAGAATATAAATATAGGGTCTTTACCCATCAAATTATACTCACACTTAAACCCTCCTTTCCTACTCTCAACCCTAAGCTCTCAACTCTCAACTTCTCAACTCTCAACTCTCAACCTCTTAAACTCTCAACTCTCAACCTTTTAAACTCTCAAATCTCGCAAACTCTCAACATCCCAAACGACAATGTCTCTACTCACCATGGGTGACGCTCACAGAGGGACGGCTAAAAACATCGTCGCGTTTGTAAGTCTTTTGTTATTGTCTATGTTTACAATTTTGTCTAAAAAAACGTTAGTACTTTTACTTCTTCTCTAACGTAACATTCATTATTCTGCAGGATGTATCAAGGTTTCGATGTCGCGTGCATGATTACATACCACACGACCCGCTCATTACGAACTACCTTACTCAATGTGGGTTTGGTGATTTGATCGAAATCAAATCTTACTCCCTCGACATGAAATTTATTCTAGCATTGTTAGAACGCTAGAGACCAGAGACACATACATTTCACCTACCTTTTGGTGAGTGTACTGTGACTCTTCAGGACGTTTACATGTTGCTCGACCTACACAACGATGGTAAGGCCGTGAACGGCAAAGTTGGTGTCCCTGACCAACTTTGCGAAGATTTATTGGGCGCCCCTCTTTGTACGAACGGACCTCAGGCAGAAAGCGAGGGCCGCCCGAGGGGTCAGGGAATAAATTTAAAATACCTTAGAGAACAATACAACCGTATTGTCTTAACTGATGATAGCACCGAGTTTGAGAAAATACAAAAAACTCGATGCTATATTATGATTTCATTCGGGCACTTTTTATTTCCAGATGGCACTGGAAATACCGTCCATACTATGTATTTACCATTATTGCGCAATATTAACAAAGTGTGCGAATATAGCTGGGGATCAGCTGTCCTCGCCCATCTATATAGCGCACTTTGTAAAAATTCAAAAAAAAAATTCCTGCACTTTTTATGGTTGTGCTTATCTTCTGCAAGCGTAGGGTTGGTCTAGGATGCCAATGCTTGCTCCAATAAACAGGAATTCTTTTACGTTCCCGTACACCAACAAGTAAGTATGTTTTCAAGATTATTTAGCAACTACATATTCTTTTTCAGTTAATAATTTCTAAGATTTGTTTATTTTTTTAGGTGGTCTGTTCCAGGGATGAATTATCAGAGATGTCCAAGGCACTCTATAATTCAATACCGCAACCTAATCGACCACCTTGGCCCAGATGATGTTAGTTATTTACCATTAATTTTTTTTAATGTATATGTATATAGCTATCAAACTTTGTCTAACTTAATTGTCCAACTTTATTGTAGTTTGTCTGGATGTCGTACGAGGGTCTCGACCACGAGCCCAACCCCGACGATGCCGCTGTGTGGACAGCAAAGACACCCATAATTAGGTTCACTACGGTGGAGATGCACCAAAGTGACCGGGTGAAACTACAATTTGGGATGCATCAGGATATTCCAGATGCTCCAGTAGACTTGGGGCAGTGACATCAAAAGCGGGTAGACGCACAGTGGAGTGTCAGTGACTGGAAGGAGTTTGCGAAGGAGTTGCGTATACACAGGAAAAGAAGAAGGCAATACGTCTTAACCGACGGTATTGTGCACGGGGCTAGGCCAAGTATTCAATATATGACTTGGTTTAGGTCTATCACGACATCTCCGCCTTTCCTGTCGCAGCCAACCTATTTGGCCGATCCAAGGGAACGCGATTCTTCGTCAAACCCACAACAACAGTTCAGTACCCAAAACCAGGCTTACGAAAACCCATACATGCCAACAAATACCCCCTATCAACAACGACAACCTTACATGTCAACCACCCAATCCCAGCCTCAACCACCTTACCATTACAGCCTTGATACGTCTTTTAAGCCTACCCCCTCCAATTACCCCTCCAACTATAGCCCAGACACCTCATTTGACCCTACCCCCTCCAACTACCCCTCCAATTACCCCTCCAACGACCCCCCAAACTATCCATTATTCGACTACCACACCCCGCAACAACCAACACACCTAGACCAACCCAACTCCATGTACACATTCGGACAACCATACCGTCCATACTCCACAAACCTCCCCGACAATCCTTCGAAAACATGGGCATCAGGCTTGACTACGGAAGCGCTGTTGACAGTGGACCTCCCGGCTATTGGGGTCAAATGATGCAAACTCTATCTGATACGCTGGGACCGTCCCAACCATACCCTCCTCCACACCTCAACACACAGAGACCGGACACACCACTGCAACCTCCTCGTAGACCTCGTCGCAACGCGCGTCCCCCACAATGTGGCACCGGTGGTCACTTGGGTAGAGCTGGTCATTAGTTTTTGTCTTTTGTTCAATTGTAATTGTACTTTTCACTAGATTCTAAATTAATATAATTTATTATTTCTATATTTTATTTTAACATTTCTGTATTTAATTTTTTCTTAATGTTATGTAAATTTTAATTAATTATGAAAAACAAACAACATAATTTAATAACATATAATTATTAAAACCTAATTAAAATATTTATTAAAATGTATATAAATTTAATAACAATTACCATTCACATATTTACACAAACAATTTATTAAAATATTTATACCAACTATAAATATTTAAAAAAAAAATTAAATCATAATCAAATTTTAAATTAATTTAATAAGAATTCATCTTACATTAATAATTATTAATTGAAATAAAATATTTATTAATTGAAATTAATTAAAAATAATATATTTAAAAAATAGAATAAAACATTAATTAAAATTAAAAAAATAATCAATTACTTAAATTTATAAAAATATGATAATAATATAATAAAAAACGTGGAAACCCTAAATTGAACACATTCGCCAATTGAGATGGCGAATTGTTTTTTTTATTTTTCACATTACAAGCATTCGCCAATTGATATGGTGAATTGGCTTTTTTGATTTTTCAATTTACAAGCTTTCGTCAATTGAAATGGCGACTGGACGTTGATTAGTTGGTTACTTTAGAAAATTATTTCAAATATACATATATTGGTAAATAAAGTTTTATATGTGGTTATTCTAAAAAAAATTCAAGAATCTTCACTGTATATTTTCTATTTAAAATAGTCGTGGTATTGAATATTGTTTTACTAATGTTTAATTTTTAAAACAGGCATGATCTTTTGATAGCTGCGTAGGAATTTGACTTGATCCGTAGTAGTATATCAATTTATCAAATTGGAACATAATTTCAAAATTCTATGTAAGAATTAAGATTCATGACGTAAGTGGATGATATAGTATCGAAAAAATGTTACTACATTACTATTTCAATGGTGGAGATTCTCCACAGAAGATAGTTGACCTATGAAGATGACTGGGTCGAAAATTAATCAGAACCACAGGACGAAAACAACAATGAACTAATCACAACCACCAGGTGAATCGGAGATTAAATCTCCACAAATAATAACTTCACAGGTAATAATACAAGTAAGATGTTTAGTCTGCAGCACTATACATAAGCTATCTACAAATCCAAACCTCTAAAAGACCTAAGAGCAAAAGAAAAGCATGCAGAAGTTTAAAAACAAATTCCCCCGACAAAATCACTCTATAAACCGACTGCACAAACTGCAGGATTCTAGATATCAATATCATGACAAATAATCTTACAATGCTGATGTAGTTTAGACAGTAGAAACATTGATCCACTGCAGAAATTACACATCAGCAAAGGGACAAACCCAGGCACGAGGGCCCTATTCCTTGGTCCATGGAGCCAGAGAAGATAAAAAAACTTTTCTTTTTCTTCATTAGTTGGACCATACATGAACAAGACCATGTCTGTTACCAGTATATATCTCGTTCCGGTCTTCATCATAAAAGAGGGCAGTTATGTCCTCCAAAGCCTCTGCAACTGAGCTCGTTATTTGGGATGAATCAATGTGTCTGCAGCTGCAAGTATTATTGCAATCGTCCACCTTCATGCTGCAATTTGCAGCATTGATTTTGGCCACACATTTCCCCGTCAAGATGTGGCTCACATTGATGGAACCAGCTGCATCAAGAAATAAATTACAATGAAAATTAAAAGGTATTTATGATTACTGCATTCAGAAATTAAATATTAATGAAATCTCGACAATCACCATTGGGTTCCATCCATTGATCTTCAGAGTCAGCCTTGCAGTAAGAGATAATCAGGTCCTGATCACTAGTTATGTATATGTTGTTTGTGTTGCAGTCTGGATGCCATAACAGATGATCCTCGAATGATGTAACAAGTTCCCCGCGGAAGTTCCAAACAGAAACGGTTCGATTTCTGAAAGTGAGGAATAACTGATTCTCGTATAGAAAGATAAATGCTGATGGAGTCATGAACTGAGTTTTATTTACCTCCATCACCTCAGAACTCCGTACCTACAAAAATAAAGAATATTACACAAACAAACTTGAAAATCATTTAAAAGAGACATTAGAAAAAACATTTATATAAAAGAAAAGACAAAATTACAGATATAAGCTAATTTTGAAAGAAAAGGTGAATTGAAGCCTTACATCAAGTATCTGAAGGTTCTCATTTTCCTGCTTGACTAGAAGCTTTTCATTGAATTGCTCTATGAAGTCCACCTTTTTATTCCGATGAAGTAGATGATTGAATGCTTTGAGAACTGTGCCGTCCTCAATGGATATAATCTTGAGTGGAATGTGACCACTTGCTCTAGTGAGTATTAACAACATGATGCCAGGACTGTAACAAAACATGTATTTGAGAAGAGCTCAAGCAACATAAGAAGAAAGCAATTAAAACAGCAAAAAGAAGATTTCAAACAGAATTGAAGATAAGAGATGCTACTCAATAAAATACAAAACAACAATGGGAGAAGAAAAAAATTCTCCATGTAAAGAACATGTGTTATACATAAAGTAAAAAACCAAATCTTCTTCTTACAGATGAGAGCATCAAGCTCCAACCAAATACACCCAAGTGTAACATGGATTACAAAATGCCACAAAAATAGCTTCTCGGTTCAGTTAAAATCAGTTTTGGTAGTTAACAAAAAATTGGTCGAAGGACCTAGGGCCCACTTCTTCAAAAATGCTAAATAAATAATTAGATAAAGAAATAACTATAGAAGGATCCCCTATGTTATCGCCAAACATAACACACATCAGGAGTGTTGTGTTGCCTAATGCCCACAAATGTGTAGCAGCTCATTGATATCAACTCTAATAAGCAATTAAGTCTAAACGCAAGAGTTATTCTTCAAGGATCGAGAAGATGGCCTAGAAGAGTCAAGAGACCAAAGACACAGGAATTAGATGATAATAAACTCATTGAGTGAGTTGGGAATTACAAGAAATTGTATGTAGTCAATCCTAGATTGCGCCCAAAAGTGGGAAAGCGGGTTTACCTCTTTTGATCATTTTTTGGACAAATTACATGAATAATACTATAAACACATATTTGATACAAAATTAAGCAAATAGCTCAAAACTCATAAGTTGCAATAAGAACTCATAAACCTTAATCAAAATATTCACTTAAATATTAGCAAAAGTTAGGGAAACAAAGAAGCCCAAGTCTTTAACACTGAAAGTAACGAATAAAGAGGTGAAAAAGAAAAATACAAAAAAGAAATGAAATAGAGATTGGGAAAAAAATAGTAGGATAAATAAAAAATTAAAATTAAAAAAAAAACAAGGAAATAGAGAGTTGGAAAAAGAAGAGAAGGAAACAGAGTGGAGGAAAAATAAGAGAAGTAGAGAAGGACAAAGAAGAGAAGGAAACAGAGAGGAGGAAAAACAAAAACAAAAAAACAAAAAAATAAACTGACTAGGAGAAATAAAAAGCAAAAAGAACAGAAGGAAAGTAGGAAAGAAGAATGAAGGAAAACTGGGAGAAAAGAAGAGAAGAAAACAAGAATCTGGTAATGTGTGGAAGTCGGATGGTGGCTTGCAGCTACTGAACGATGGTTTGCAGCAACTTCTGGAGAGTGGTGCGATACTGGATTAAAGATAATGGTACGCAGGAAGCTCGCAGAAGAGGGAAGAGAAATGTTATCATGGAAAGCAGAGGAGAAAAAAAAGACAAGAGCTTTCATGCAAAAACCCCAAAATACCCCTGTAATGTTTTAGATTTTAAGGGCAAATGGGGGTTTTTTGTCTAGCGATCAATATTGCAGAAGATAACACCGTGACAAATGCATTGTGCTAAGCTATATGCCATTGGCAATCTCTACGGTGGCAGCCAAATGTTACGCACTCCACTACACATCATAAGTGATCTCTTCTGTGGCAGCAACACCCTTAATCCACACCCGTGTCTTCACTATCGCGTCCGGCTCAATGGCGGCGCTACTCGCCGCCATTAACAACACCTAGTGATGAAGTTGAATAAAAACCAAAATAAAAGAAGAAAATCCTCCAGAAGATAACATGAGAATCACTGCCTATCTGTAGGAAAGGGGTGGCTTAGCACTGCAGTAGCATAAAATGTGATATAAATTTCCATGAACTAAATGAGAAGATTGGGTTCTGTATTTGAAAGAGAAAGAAACTTAGGTCAACAGATGCTTACTCCAGATAACCTAATGCCAAAGCAGTGCTAGTGCTGTCAGTTGCAGATAACTGAAAATAGTGGTTTGTTCAAATTCTGCTATTTGACAGCACTGTCTAATTGAAAATAAATCCTGGAATGCAACTTCTAAGAGTAAACCCCTTCTTTTAAAAGCTAATCCAACAAACCCAAACCGACCCTATCATAAGGTTTCTCAAATTCTAATTATGCACAAGATTTTTTACTCCAAACAGTCATTGGTATTTCTTCTTCTTCAAATGGTTTTTCAAGGAAAAAAGCCTTTTCCAAAGTCTTAGTCCACCAAAATTTCAATGAAAGTCTAGATAAATTTTCTCATTAAACAAGGCTTTGATTGGTTGAAAGAAGAATCTAAGAAGAGAGAATGATGTGAGGAAGCAAGTGCGAAAAGAGAAAGAGGTGAGAGATATGTAAGAAATAGGAAATATTATGATGTTGTTTGGTACAAGTGATAGAGAAAAACTAGGAACAAGAAAAATAGTAGTATAACTATTGAATGCACAGAAATGACCCAAAAAACATGCATAACCAATTCTCAACCTTAGCCTATTTCCCAGTCTTTTGTCTCCAGCCATATTTCTTTCTCAACAAAACCTGCTCAAAATCATGTAACATGAAAAACCTTTTGTCACATTCACTAGTTGGAAACTCATCCATGACCTACTCAGGCAGCACGTCAACTTTTCAAAGAATTCTTTTTCGATGTGATGTGTGTGCGGGTGCAATGCAGAGTACAACATGATTATGCTCACAACTTAAAATTATTTATTTATTGAAATGGGGTTTCGGCAGATACCAGAACTGTGAAGCAGAAAGTTAATCCAAAAAAGAGAAAGTACCTGATCTTGATCTCTTGAACATTCCTATCTGAAATTGAGTATAGCAGGGTGTAGTTTTTAAGGTCAAAGATCTTGTATATACTGTTACCAATGGATAGAAGTGAGTAAGATAGAATAACCGGTGGAAAATATGTGCAGTATAAGTGGAATAGAAAGAGGAAGAGTAAAAGAAAGTACCTATCTTGCGCGGAGTATGTAAGAACCTTTGCATTAACATCATCAAATTCCACAAATCCGGGCCATTTTAAAGACTCGGACTGGAAAAGAGGGAAACCAGCATCTGGCTCAGCCCTCCTTATGTATCTAGGAAGAGAAATGAAGGAATACGTAAGTAACATAATAACATACGTTGTACACAAAGAAAGGAAAACTATGAATGTGCAGCCACAGAAAGCACGCACTCAATCCTTGTAGATCTGCATTTCAGAGAACTGAAATTCTCAGAAGCATAAACAGACACTGTAATAAGTGATTCGTTGTTTTTGTTGTAGAACAGACTGCGGATGACTTCGTCAGGGCTAACATTCATAAAGCAAATCCTCTCATTTGTTTCTGCATGGATAAAATACACCAATGATTAAGTTCTTGTTTGGAATGCGAGATTTCAACCATTTGTAGTGAACCAAATCTAAAATAAACGATAAACCATACACAATACATAAAAGTAAAGATTTTGCATACAAATTTGATTTGACAATGACTAAGGGTCTATTTGGGAGTTGGTTTTTTAAAGAAAAGACTTTGTAGGATTGCGTCTATATTTTGAAATGTGTTTGATATTTTTAAAAAGTTTAAAAAACATAATGATTTTATTTGTTAATGTGGTATATTGTTTTTTAAACTTTTTAAAAATATCAAAACACATTTCAAGATATAAACGCAATCCTCCAAAGTCTTCCCCTCCAAAAACCAACTCCCAAACAGACCCTAATAATCTAGTAATAAGCAATGGCAAATCATATATAAAAGATCAAAAGGCGTGGCTTTTATAAAAACACGGCAAAGACAATGATTAACATATGGGAATGGGAAATGAAATTCAAACATACAAAAATCAAAAGTCATGGTTTATATACAAATGAGTCTTAAGCATGGCACTTATGAATTAAAATTGAAGACATGTCCAGTGTCCACAACCAACACATCACCGACACATGAGATTATATTCGATTAACTTCTCTCAAATTATTACCTCTGTTTGTGATTCATAGAAAATGAAAATAACTCATTCAGATAATAAGCAATGGCAATTCATATACAAAAATAAATAAATAAGCAAATCATAGTTATTATCAATGTTATCAATGACTTATGGCAGAGAGCCAAAATCCCACAATAATGCCCGATTTATCAACCACATCGGCATCGGCACAGGGGACAGCGGCACCGCCATCCAGTACATATTTGGCCATGGCGGAGAGCATAAAACCTGCTAACAATATCTGCCATGACCAATATTTGACCACACTAGTTTCTACACAAATGGCAATGACTAATATGTAGACCATGAACAACAACAACAGATCCAAATTCCCTACAAGAAAATTTTCCGTGAATTATCAAGGGAATTCACGAAGATCAAATGACAAAATCAGCTTCGCAGTAATTAGACTTCACCAAATCAACTTTAAAATGCATATAGGTAGACTAACCAGATGACCTTCATCATCTAAAAAAACGATATCCATGCCCACACGACTACAGAGAATCGAAATTCGATAACCTAAAACTATTCACCTAAATAATAAAATCAAAAACCCTCATATATGGTAATGAGTAATGGCAAATCATACATACAACACAAGCATAAAAGTAACAATCATTAACAACCCATACATACAACAAAAACCAAAAGTCCTAGTTTTTCAACAATCAAGAACATCAACAAAAAACCACAAAAGGGCAAAAATGGAAACTCACCTCTACTAAAAGCAGCACAAAGCCCAGAATGAGCAAGAGCAAACACAACATTCTTAGCAGCAACGATCTCAACAACCTTAGTTCTTTTCATCAAGAACGGCAAGAAAGGTTTAGGAGAAGAACGGTGTTTAGCGTCATGAGTATCAAATTGATGAGTCAAACGCATGTTCTGGAATCTATGTGGAGCAGTAGCAGCAACAAAAGCACGGTGAGGTTTGGAAGAAATCTCGCGTGATTGAAGCTTCTTGATGACGCTGTTGGTGTTGAGATTGGGGTTTTTGTCACCATTGGTAGTGTCACTCTTGGTTGCTACTATGCGCCGTCGGCACCCTCCACGCCTCCTTTCGTCCATTCTCAGTCTCATCTCATCACTTCCACCGAATTGTCACTTTTCTTGCAAATTGTAATCTATTTATTTTTATACATATACTTTTCACTCTTCATTGGACCTTTTTGCTTTTCTTATAAAATACTACTTTTTTTTCCTTGAGTCAAAAATAAAATAAAATATATTTTCTTTTCTTTTCTTTTTTTTATTTATTCTGAGTTTAATGGAGATACATTAGAATTATATTAAAATTTATATTTTATTTTAATAATGTTTATTTTTAGGATATTATTTTAATTTTAATCAATAGAAACAATTAATTTTTAAATTTAAACTACAGACATAATGAAGTTTTTCTATAATATCATTTAATTAATAAGTTTAATTGGTATGTGTAATACCCTAAATTTTATTCTAAGATTAGTCGTTTTATCTTGCATCCCATTTTATTTTGTATTATGTTTAAACTAACCACTAACAGGTTGTGCAGTTGGTTGATTTTTGCAGGAAAATATCATGTGGCGCACTCTTTTAGTTTACAGGGTTTCTAGTGTCACTTTATTTTGAATGAATAAAATAGCACAATTGGCAAGAGACCGTGTGTAAGGAGTTGTGAGTATGAAAGGTTGAGAGTTTGAACCCCACGAAAACTTGAGGAACATCAGAAAATCAAAAACAGGTCATCAAAAGAAGAGAGTTTTTGAGAAAAACTCAGAAGATCCACCAACAAGGATCATCCAACGGCGGCCGTGGACCATTTGGAGCCTCACTACCACCGGCGGACAATAACCAAGCAAAAAGTCTCAGAAGAAGCTTCATCACCTTGCCATCGAAACGCCGTCATCAAAAATCCAAAACGTAAGATTATGATATTAATGGGTTTGGTTTTGTTTTATTTGGTTTCAGGTATGAACAACGAAAGCGAAGCAGGAGGAGAAGAAGCAAAAGCTTCCAAAAAGCAACAACGGAGGCCAGCGGCGCCGCGTGTGGAAGGAAAAGAATTGGTCAAGCCTTTTCCTTTTTTTCTCTAATAATGCAATTTAGTTTAATTAAATTAAATTAAAACCTTTCTTAAACTAAAAAAGGAAAAGGAAAAGAATTGGTCAAGCCTTTTTTTTTTCTCTAATGATGCAATTTAGTTTAATTAGATTAAATTAAAATCTTTCTTAAACTAAAAACTTCCTTTTTTGAGGATGAAAGCGAAAGGCTTTTTGTTTCAAAAATCAAAACCTTTTTTTTATTAAAACATTTTTTACTAAAACCTTTCTTAAACTAAAAACTTCCTTTTTTGAGGATGAAAGCGAAAGTCTTTGTGTTTCAAAAATCAAAACCCTTTTTTTTTATTAAAATATTTTTTTATTAAAACCTTTTTTAAAATTAAAATCTTTCGTAAACTAAAACTTCCTTTTTTGAGGATGAAAGGCAAAGTCGTTGTGTTTCAAAAATCAAAACCCTATGTTAAAATTAAAACTTTTTTTTAAAACCTTTTTTTAAAGGTAATTAGGAACTTTTTTAAAAGTTGATTATAATATTTCTTTAAAAATATTAACCAAATGAACTTTTTCTCCCAAAATTAAAAATCTTTTTTAAAATAAATTAAAGTTTTTAATAAATTGCTAACCTTTTAAAACATAAAAATTAAAATTAATTTTCCTTTAATCCTAAATTTGTCTTTCTTAAAACTAAATTTCTCACCTAAAAAAATTTCTAAAATTCCTAACCTTTCCCGTTAAATTTTCATCTAACTTTCATTGTTCCTCCTTTTTGTCCTTGGTTACTAATTTCGCATTTTATTGTATTTTTATTTTTTTTTCGGTTGTAATTATGCGAGGCATCGTCGCAATTTATTATTCTTGCGTATTGTTTTTCATGGATGTAATTTATGCGAGGCCATGATCGCAATTATTATATTTTTCGCATTTTTTTGGGACTTGTAATTTACGCGGGTGATCATCGCGACACTTTCTTTATTTCCGCACTTTAATTTCTGTCATATAATAATTTGCCATTTTGCATGTTCTTACCGTTAATTTCCTCCTTCCGAAGGAATTAGGTCTAGTCATTTGACCGCCGAGTCAATAGTCCTAACCTTTAGCCATTTCAAACCCTAATAGCCTAGGTGGACGAAAATATATATTGAGCTAGGGATAGAGTTTGAAAGGCGGACACTATTAATTAGTCAAAACTAAATAAAATTTAAACAAATTAAAATTAACTTAAATAATTAGTCAAAACTAAATAATTAGTCAAAACTAAATAATTAGTCAAAACTAAATAAAATTTAAACAAATTAAAATAAACTTAAAACTCTATTTATTTATACTAAACATTAAAAATATTATAAAAAGAATAAAATATTTTCTAATACTTTTAATTTTATGATTTTTGGATGTTTTTATGAATAATATGGAAAAAAGTGATAAAAGAAACAAAACAAAAAGTGAAGAAGGTGGGATTCAAACTCTCAACCTTTCACACTCACAACTCCTTACACACGGTCTCTTGTCAATTGTGTTATTTTATTCATTCAAAATAAAGTGGCACTAGAAACCCTGTAAACTAAAAGAGCGCGTCACATGATATTTTCCTGCAAAAATCAACCAACTGCACAATCTGTTAGTGGTTAGTTTAAACGCAACGCAAAATGAAATGGGATGCAAGATGAAACAACTAATCTTAGGGAAAAATTTGGGGTATTACAATATGCATTGATAATGTAAAATAATTTTACACTGCCATCTAATAGGAATTTATTAATGTGTCATGTTATATCATTAACTTAAAAATTACAGTCTAATGTGGTGGAATACACGATAATGATCAATGCATACCAATTAAATTCTTAATTAATTATTGAACAATTAAAAATGATTAATATTAATTATAATTTTTTTTTGACAACATCAACTATCAACTATCTTATCTAAGAAAATTTAATACTACCAATATTCATATATTAATCTTTCATTACACTAATTATACAAAGTCATTTGCCCATAAACGTAATTAACTAAATTAAATGCTCTTGTAATACTTCCCACTTTCGATTTGCCATCTGTTTGGAATCTATTGGGTACATACATTGAAATTCACTTTCCCTATCTTTATCCTTTCCCTCCCTCAATATTACACAATAATTGTTGCGTCTACCTTTCCTCACTTCCAACTTTTCGCTTCAATCACTTTCCTCTCTTGTCTTTCTCTTTCGTCTTTTCGCTCTCTCACTTCCAACCTTTGTTCCATCTTTAACATTTCTTCTTCAGATACAAGGTAAGATATTCCATGGTTCCTTTTAAGCTTTAACTGTTAAAAACACGCAACATCATTATGGTTGTTTGACTGCTCGTTTCGTTGTATGCATTCTGATTTTGTGTGTTTGTTAGTGTTTTAGTTTTCAGTTCACACCATATGCATGTTTTTTATCTGGTTCTCCCCAATGCTTGACATGGTTATTGTGTCTTTGGAAATATGTAATATTTTCATTTATGTCTTAACTTGTTTGGACTATCTAGCATTTATATGTTTTTGGTGTTGTTGTTTTTCTTAACCTACAATTTAAAAAATAAAAGATGAAATAGATTATGTGTTTAAAATAAATACATATGCATGTTATACAAGCTAAAATAGCATGTTTATGGTTTCATCTATGCAACTTTATTTCTAGCCATTTTGCTTCTATTGACTTTTTGTTTGTAGGATATGCATGTTATTTTCATTTCTTAGCACTTTGTTGTTTTCTCCTTTAATATTTCTTAGGCCTTTTGCACTATTCATCTTCTCATATCACTATATATTTTCATGTAATCAACAACATTTATATACAAAATTAAACATGTTTTATACGTGCATTTTCAGTCTGGAGGTTGTTTGCTCTACATTACAAGACATTTAATGCAACTTGGGGCCTTTGTTGTTTTGGTCATTTTATTAAATCAAGAACATTAGTTGGTTAAATAGAAGGGTTTCTGGTTTACTATCAAATTTCATTAATTACAAACCTATAAGTGTGTGTCTTCTTTTTATTATTTTTACATATTATATGTTTCACTCATTACCTATATTTATATAGAAAGTTGCAGCATTAAAAACAAAGTTTATTGGTGGAAATCTGTATAAACAGACATCATAAACTCAGCACATAGCCAACTTATATCATGAACATCACATCACATTTCACCGAGTATGTTTGAAATAGTAAACTTAATTCGACAAGACTTGTTGTTTTACTTACCAATCTCATTTAAATTTAGTTTTTAAATACCATGCTCATATGTTATTGTACCTTCTGTCAAATATATTTGGCCTATCTTGTGGATGCAAATTCGACATAGTAACTTGTCTAATCACAACCTCTGTTGTCTAATGTAGTTGTACCTGCTGTATTTTATAATGATAAACTTAGCTCAACTTTTGAAATGTTGTCAGAACCATATTTTTCCAACTAAATACTTACTTGTCCAGTCTGAATACTTACTATTTTATACAATTTCCATAGACATTGGCATTTACCTTTCCAACCAAGTTCCCTTCTTATGTTATTTGTTATTTCTGTATGTGTCTATGATTATTATATTAATCAATTTATTTGTCATATTTTATATTTCCTACAATATTTGACTTTTACCACTTCCCTCTTAAAAATTCAACCAAAGAACACATTCTACAAGACAATATGGACATCTAACGTGTTGATGTTTGCTTCACCTCACCATTCTAATAATTTAACCAGGTGGTGATACATTAGACTGATTTCTGCCTTCATCATACAAGATTCTTGCATATGCGTTTTTTTTTCTGTATCACCCTAATGGACTTTCGTTAATAAATTCACATTCTAATTATATATCAAGTGTCAAACTATCAATAGTTACTAATTTAAATTATAACTCGTCTATATCATTTGTCTTGTAGGTTTCTCTTTCAATTCCAAACACAATGGATGATTATTTGAGCAATCAGGTAGTGCACTTCTGCATTGGCTTTTTGGTATAAAAAAAATGTATAAACATCTCATATTGTTAGTACACTGTGATATG